TTGGCGTGAACTTGGTGTTTAGGAAATAGCCTTGGTCAAGGTCTTTTGGAAATCTACTCTTGACCTGGCTCTGAAAAAGAGGCCTTTATTACAGGGCCCCAGGGGTGGGAGCCAGGCCCACTGCTCTCCTTTTCTTTCAGACTCGGGCTCTCTTTTCACCTTCTCTCTCTGCATCTGCTTCCTCCTGCCTCTGACCAGATTGTCCCCTCACCGGGCAGGATTTGGCCACCCTCTGCTCCCGAGGGTACAGCACCTCAGTTTGGTTGACCAGCAGAGACTGGTGTCTCAGGGTCCTGCGTTCCCAGGAGAATCACATGGCTACTCTGATCCGGTCAGTCTCGCCTGGAGGCGTGATCCTCATCTTTGGGGGGCCTTCCTGTGGAGTAGGGAAGTATTTGTCAGGGAGGGGCCTGGGTCAGGCTGACCTCCTTGATGAGATCTGGTCCCTGATGAATAGCTGGGGTTTGGCCAGCCCTCAGGGACTGCAGGTGGATGGGTGGGGGTTTCTCGGGGCCCTGGAAGGGATGTGCCATTCTGCTTGGTCCTGTTATTTCTTAGCATGTGAAATATCACTTGTCTGAGTCGCTGCCCATAAATTAGTCTGTTTTGTCAGTGGCGAGACATGCAGGAGTCAGATCAGAAATAAGCTCTCTTCTCCCCAGCGCAGGCTGCCCACAGGAAGGGTAACGTGCTTTGTCTCTCCGTGGCCTGGGGCCAGAGTAGGGGGCAGTCCCCATGGAGGAGGACCCCGCACTTGGACCCCTGGCCTCAGCCTGGCTCCCCTGGGGCCTGGAGCCCGCAGCTGGGAGTCCCCTTCCTGGCAGTGGAGGCCGTGGTTTCCCAAAGCGCGTGCTCTTCTTACTTTAACATTTTAAGTTAATTTTTGGTTTGTTTATTTTAGGAGAAAAGAATAGAACTGTAGGATTAGATTAACACTAATAGTAACTAGTAACCTTGATTGAGTGCTTGCTCCATGCCTGGCCTGGATGGAGCGTTTTACATGCATTTTCTTGTCCGGTCCTCGTCTGGGCTCTTGGAGGAGGCCTAGACCCTGACGTTGGCTGACCAGGGTTTGAACTCGCTAGTCCTGCCGCTTAACTAGCAGTAAGTTACGTCACCTCTCTGTGCCTCAGTTTCCCAGGAATCAGAATAGTCTCTGCCTCATGGGGTTGTTGTGAAGATTCAGTGGGCTAAAATGTCACGCTAGCCCAGAGCCTCACAGTGTCAGCATTCCCTGCTCGGCTGCTGCTGGCACGCTGAGAGGGACACCTAAGTGCGCCACCTCACCATGCTGGAGAGATGGGTAGAGTTGTGGCATCCTTCAGATGGAAGCAGAGAGTGAGCAAACGGCTGGTCCCAGAACAGGGTCTGAGAACTGTGGCTCTTGTGTGGCAGGGCCACCTGACTCGAGAGCTGACGGTTGTCAGGCAAGTGGGGAGAGCCAAGGCCTCTGGTTTGAGCCAGGCCACATCGGTTGGGCTCCATGTTGTCCACCCTGGGGGAGACGCACCGAGTGCCAGGCACAGCCTGAAAGCAGCGGAGCCCACCTCACCCTGGAACTGGAGCAAGTGGATCCAGTCAAGGAGAGTCAGGCTTGTGTCGCCCACTCCATCTCCCCGTGACCCCGTCAGCTTGGATTGAGTCACCTCAGTCCGGTTTGGACTGGTCTGAACAGGTTCCATCCATGAAGCTGGCTGGTTCTGGCACAGAAGAGCCTGGCTGAGTTGGCCCGGACGCCCAGTCCGTTTGAGCTGGTTTGCCTGGTCTGAGACAGCCCAGCGGCTTGACCCCTTACTCTGCCTTCGAACTTGAGCTGGCCTCACTTTTAGTCTCAGTCTCTGGCTTCCTCACTCTGCAGTCTCTGGGTTTTTCTTGGGGGTTTCTTTGGAGGGTCCCATCCACTTGATTCCTAGGAGGACTTCCTTTGCTCCAGAGGCTGGTTCCTCTCCCTCAGTCCTGTCTCTTCTGTGCTGGAAATCCCCCACAGAGTTTGGCTTGTGAAGTACCCTTTCCTGTGAGCGTGAGCCAATACAACTAGTTTTTAGTATCTTAATGTCTTTGATGATTTCAAAGGGGCGTGGAAGGGGAGAGTGGAAGCTGTGAGTTCAGGTCACTCATGAAACAGCTGGTGGCTGCTCCTTTATTGTGGTGTAGTGTACCTCCTGTAAAATCTGCCCGTTCTGAGTGTACACTGCTGTGACTTTTAGTGGCTACGTAATTGTCACCATCATCCGTTTTAGAACATTTCCATCACCTCAGAAAAATTCCTTGTGCTCATTTGCGTCAGTCCTGCTCCCAACCCCAGCCCGCCACCGATGTGCTTCTTGTCTCCACAAATTTGCCTTTTCTGGACGTTTCATAGAAATGACATCATATAGTGTGGTCTTTTGTGTTTGATTTCTTTCACTTAGCATAATGTTTTTGAGGTTTATTCAAGTTATAGCTTGTGTCAGTATTTCATTTCTTTTTGCTGAGCAGTGTCCATTGTGTGGATATATCATTGTTGATGCGTTCACCAGTTGGCGGGCATTTCGAGTGCTTCCACCTTTTGGCTATAGTGAATAATCCCGCCGGAAACATTCGTGGGCGTGTCTTTGTATGGATGTATGTTTTCCTTTTTTTAAGGTAGATACCTGGGACTTGAATTGCTGGGTCACTTGGTAAGTTAATGTTTAACTTTTTGAGAAACTGCTGAACTATTTTCAAAGTACTTGTACCTTTTGCTTTCCAACCAGCAGTGTATGAGGGTTTCATTTCTCCACATCCTTGTCAGCACTTGGTATTGTCTGTGTTTTTTATTCTAGCCATCCTAGTGGGTGTGAGGTGGGATCTCATTGTGGTTTTGATTTATATTTCCCCAATAGCATTTCTCCTCTTAGTCGTGCGTATGTCTTCTTTTGCAGAATGTCTGTTCAGATTTTTGTGCAGCTGCTTTTCAAACCTGCACCAGCCATGCATTCGTGGTCCTTGGTAATGGCGAGCATGGCTTCTCTGGGAAAAAAATGGTTAACAGATGAACGCACCCAGCCCGTCCCTTCTCCCTGCTCGTGAAAGAGGATTTTGACCTCTCTGGCTCAGTTTTTCCTCTGAGAAAAAACTTACCGGGCCAGTTCTTTTTTTCTTTCTTTTTTATTATGAGAATTATCTAGCCTTTAGAAAAGTTGAGGGATGCGTATAATGAACTCCTGTCGGTGGATGTCAGTGGTTAACATTTTGCCATACTTGCTTTCTCTCTACTTATGTGAGTTTTGCTGGCCTGTTTGAAGGGGAGCTGCAAACCCCCATTACCGCTAAGTTCTGCCACGGGTATCACCTAAGGATGAGGACTTCTGAAGCTTCTCGCTGTTAGCACACCTAAGAAAGCCAGTAGGAATCCGGTGATATCATCATATACCCAAACTCAGCTTTCCCTTGTTGGCCCCTAAATGCCGTCGATAGCTCAGACTCATTGTTCTGAGTGTTTGGGGGAAGAAAGGAGGGAAGGCAGAAGGATCACAGCTGTTGCTGAGCAGGAGAGGGTTGCAGAGGAAGATGGCGGGGCAGTTGTGAGGGGCCCACCATGGCCACTTTTGGAGACCTGCAAGGAAAGAGCCCGGGTCATTCTGACGTTCCTTTTTGGGTGCTCGACTCTTTCTTTGAAGGCGCACTGCTGTCTGGTGGGGCCTGTGGCTGCGGGCTCTGGGAGGGTTCCAGACAGTGTCGAGATCAGACTGACACTTTCTTCTGTTTGATCTACTTCCAGACCATCTTTCCCAGTGGTTTGGGCTTGACCTTGCTCTCCAAGATTGCTTTTTCTCATGGGCACCACAGATCCAGCATGTCCCAAATCACAGTCATCATTTGTTCCCACAAATCTGCTATGCCACATCTGTTCCTGTCCTTGATGAAGGACACGCCATCCCTGGTCCCTCAAGCCAGAAGCCATTCATCCTCAGCTTCCTTCCCCCTCACCCCCTCATCAGTTTCTATTGGATCTCTGTCCTCATGTCTCTCAGTCTCCTCCCTGACTTCACTGCTCCAACCTTGGCTCGGAAGACCCTCCTCCTCTTGTCTGGGTACTTGCAGTTGGCTTCCAACTGGTGCCGCTGCCCTCCCTTCCCCTCCCCCATTGTGTCCCTCCTGCTCTCCTGGTCACTCGCCTCCTAAAAAGCTGGTGGTGGCTACAGTTCTCTGCTGTTCAGCGATGTGAGAAATGCTCTGCTAGAAGTGTGTCCACCTTGGCATGAGAGCAACTGGTTTTGCTTTGGGTGGCCCAGGCGCGATAGCCAGGGAAAATGGCGTTGAGCGGGGTCTTGAATGATGACCGGTTGGTGGGACAGCATGAGCAGAGGCCACAGCATGAGTTACTTAACTTCCCTGTTCCTCGGGTTCCTCACGTGTAATGTGGATGTGATAATAGGACCTACCTGAGGACTGTGGGGAGGGTTAGGTGGCTTAAGGCATGTAAAGTGCACTCAAGTGGCAAGTACTGTATGAGTATTAGTTATTATCTGTGTTATTATTGACGAAATGATGTGATGTACAGGGAAACATGGTAGAGTCGGTTTGTCTTCTTTACCTGCCTTCGTTCTAAAACAAAGGTCACAAGCTCTAGTGCCTGCAAGAGCCAGGCATGTACTGAAAGGGTTGCACAGGCCAGGCGAGGACTGACAGGCACTTGCTCCAATACCAGGGGCAGCGCTGCTCAGCCCAGCTGGTGGTCGTCAGGCAGGAATGTGGGAGCAGGCCTACCCCGTATTTCTATTTTCAGGAGAAGTCAGAATTCTATGTGAAACTTGCCAACTTTTAAACTTCAGTGATTAATTTAAAAAATATTAAAACCTGTACAAGCCCAACAAACTACATCTGTGGACCATGTTTAGCCTGAAGGCCACCAGCTTGTAATCTTTCTTTAAAGGTCTCCTTCAGGGTCATCTGCTTAAGCCCAGCATGGCTCTTTCCCAGGGGTGGGATTAAGCTGGTTTTGAAGGCTGGTTTTTATGAGCCCCTTTGTCTTGCAGGACTTCTCCAGACGGGTTATGTCACCAACCGAGGCTGCCCTGAAGCTCCCTGTGGCCTGGAGACTATGTACAACAGGAATGGTCTGATGGCTAGCGTGTTGGTCACCTCTGCCACTCCACAGGTACAGAGACTGCGAGGATCGGGACAGTGGGGGACCCGGGCAGGGGGCTCCTTTCAGCTGACCCAGGCCCCAGCTGAGTCGTGGACCCCAAGGCTGCAGGGCTGCATGAATACCGGCATTCTTAGCACGCCTGAGGCCCCCGCCACACCAGGCATGAGATTCGGGAGGCAGTCAGCCCTGAGGATCAGTGTGTTTTCTGGAGTCGTTTTCTTCAAAGAAAAACAAATACCTGCCCAGTCCAGTCGTAGCAAGTGCCACATTCCATTTTGGTGGCAAGAAGGGATCAGACCTTTCCCAAGAAAAGCTGCTGCTGATTATAAATAAGTCACACATTCCAGAATGAAGTCAGACAGAAGTGATTCCAACTGGCCCTGTGTTCTTATTTACCTTGCTCAGGAGGAAATGGCTGTAAGGAGTGGTGGTCTGAGAGTGGCCTGGGCGAGGGCCCCTGCCCTGGGGGTTTATGAGTTTGTGTTCAGGTTCAGTAATGGAACAGAGGCACGCAGGAGGAGTGGGTGCCATCTGAGGCCCCGGGGTGCCACCGTGTGGAATGCACAATGCCTGGCTCCTGAGACAAGCTGGCAAGGCAGTGCCCAGTGTGCTGAGCTCACAAGGCCCTCAGGGTCGAGCTGGGCTTTGAAATGATCTGTGTAACCAGCTAGAAATTCACAGGAACCAATCATTCCTTAGAAACCTTTCAAAAATTCCTTCTTTCGATCTCTGGTTCTGAAAGCAGACTTGTGGGTACCTTTTAAAATTGCCTCATGGTGCCAATATTAAGTTTAGGTAAAGTTACATCATCATCATCAGCACCACCACCACCACCACCAATGAATGTGTTTGGGGCAACTTTTGGTTAAATAAAGCCCCTTGTATGGTTGTGTGTGTTTGGGGCAGACGAAGTGGGGCGTTACAGCAAAGTAATAAAACCTGAAACCCCAGGAATGGACTCTGTTTGGTAACTAGAGGAATCAGACTGTTTTCATTTACAATTTACACTCCATCCAGAGTAAGACTTCTTTCCCCTCTGGTGTCTGTGTTTGTATATGTTTGTGTATATACACATGTGTGTACATACACACACATACATATATGCTGTGGATATGTGCATGTATGTGTATATGTATATCCAAAAAATGGTAAGTACTCAGTAACTATTTGTTGCATGGGTGAATACATGTATAGTTGAAGTGCTCAATAAATTTTGGTGACTGAGTGACACGTTTATACACATACACACCCATAATTAGTGCTTACTATATACCAGGCACTTCTTTTGCACGTTCCACAGGATTATTTCACTTAATCCTCATAATAATTCCATTGAGTATGCCTCACTCCAGTGCGAGGAGAGTAAACTGGCTTCAAATCGCACAGCTGGTCAGCGGTGGGTGGGGACTCAGGCCAGGCGCCTGTGATTCTCGAGCCACTGCTCCTAACCCTAATGGCGCTACACTGTCGTGAGGAAAGTCAGCCCTGGCTCCTCAGTCAGCCTGCTTCGTGGAAGGTGAGTGTGACAGTGCAGGATGACTTATAGGTCTGTGTATAAGACTGAGGAGTAGAATCATTGCTAATCCCAGAAGCATTCGGGATTAGTCTTCATTACCTTTCAAAAGTTTAACACAGATCCTCCTCAGGGGAGACTGTCTCCTCACCCATGGAACTTTTAAAATAGCCGTGCCTGAGCCCACCCAGGCCCCTTGAATCAACAGCTCCCAGCGAGGGGGTTTCTGCCAGTTGCTTTGTAAACTTCTTGTTCTATAACCCGTACCACAACCCTGGGGAGTAGGTTTTAGCAGCATCTTTTTGAGATAACTGGGACTCAGTAAAATGAAGTAACCTGCCTGAGGTCAGACAGCAGCTAGCGTGGAGCTGGTGTGCTGACCAGACCTGTCTCACTCCAGAGCTCTTAGCCTCCGTGATCTCCGGCTTCTTAAGATCGTCCTGGAGTTTTTGGTCTAGTGGACTCATTTGTAAAACTTTTAAATGACATAGGCCTGTTGAAATGTACAGGTTTAAGTTTCCGCTCCTCCTTTCAAGCTCACATTTTCAGTTGTTGACCATTGGTTTCCCTCACTGGCCTAAAAACCCTCCAGTTTCCAGTAAGATTGCAAAGTTTTTCCAGATATAGCCATTTTGGAAAGAGTGAAATAAAGAGGAATTAATAAAAGCGTATTCTCTAAATCCCGGTCCAAGATGCTGAGGTTAATGGAAACCACAAAATCCCTCTTCATAGGTCGAGACGAATAAAAGCCTTTATGAAGGGGCACAGTTTTTGGGTGGTAAGCTCGATTGGTTCCCCAAAGTAGAATTTGGTGAAATCAAATAAAATTGAAGAGACGGTGTGTGCTCAACATTCCAGGATGCCCACAGTGTTGAGTTTCATGAAACTGGGCACATTTGAGGAGTTTTAACTCGTTCTGTTATGGGAGACGCTTTCTTTACAGGCAGGGCTCCCCGTGTTCCCCGTACCAGGGGAAGATGCTAAATATAACCTTCACACCCGTCTCCAAGGCAGTTGTTGCCTCTCACCTCGTCAGCTAACAGGCTTTGAATTCCGAGTGCCCAAACATGAAATAAGCCTTGAGAGCCAGCTTAACGTTTTGTGTAATAATTTCCGGCAATGACTTCAAATAGGAAAAAAAAAAAAAAGGTGAAACCAGGTAATATTTGAAAGGCACAAGAAAACAGCTGATCTTCTCGGCCCCTAAGGTGTGAAGCCTGTTCTCTCTGAAGGGAGGGTGGGCTGTAGCTTTTTGCCCCCACTCACAGCCGCCTGAAAGTAGTAGGGTGTTGGGGTTGAGGGTTTGTGTTCTGGCATCGGAGAGACACAAAACCAGATTCACATTCTGGCTCTTCAGTTTCCCAGCTGAGATGCCTTGGGGAAGTCACAGTCCCTCTACTCTGATCTGTAAAATGGGGATGATAATCGTGAGTACTCAGAGAGTTGTTAGGAGAATTAGATAAGATCATGCGTGTGAAGTGCTTAACATAGTGCCTGGAATAGTGTAAAGCACTAAACAGCGGAAGCCTGTATCACACACAGCTCTGTCACTCCTGCCTCCTCAGTTCTGAGGTTTGGAAGTCAGTGATCCCAGCGGCAGCCAGGCTACTCAGGCGGCATCCTCTCTCCCCGTCCTCCACAGGGCAGCAGCAGCTCAGACTCTTTGGAGGGCCAGAGCTGCGACTATGCCAGCAAGAGCTACGACGCCGTTGTGTTCGATGTCTTGAAAGTGACTCCCGAGGAGTTTGCTGTAAGTAGCGGAACTGATGTGGGTGGCTGGGCACCACGACCAGGTGCTCGAGGGCTCGCTGCAGGGGGCTTTTTGCTCAGGTGGGAAACAACCCATGTGCCCAACAACAGGGGATTGTTGAAGAAAGTGTCCTTTATGAGATACCAGGCAGTGTTAAAACGATGCTGTCAATCTAGAAATTAACCACCTTGGAAGGCACACACAATATATATGGATAGTAAGTGAAAGGAGCAGGTCACAGCACAATTTGTAGAGAATAGTGCCATTTTAAAAAGCTTGTACAAATTTGTATTTGCATAATAAAAGGTCTAGTTTTTATGTTTACATATTCATAAATATCTGGAGATATAGCCAAATATATTATTTACAGTACTTTCTGGTTGTAGGATTCTAGGTAATTGGAATTTAATTTTTCTTCTTTTTGTTTATTTATACTTTCTACATTTTTACAATGACCACTTTCTAAATGATAGACAATATTATATGGGCAATTTTTGTAATTATAAATTTAAAAAAAATTGTTTTCTCTTCAACCAGTGTGTTGCTGCCGGTCTGACTGAGGGACGGTTCCTTGTCCCTCAGGAGCAGAGGTGCCTCCTCGTTTTGCTGGGACTTGCTTTCTTCCTTTTGCACCCGGAGGGTAGAGGGAGTTTGTTGGCTCTGGGGTGACCTCGAGTGTCATTGCAAGGACGGTCCCAGGGCTGTGTTTCCTGTCATGCCCACTGCCTACCTCATCCCTGTCTCCTTGCTAGAACAGGCCTCGTGCCCTCCAGGGTGCTGTGGGAGCTCACTGGGCCCCATCTCAACCCTCTGCCATCACTGGCTCCCGTGAGTCCTTTGTGCCAGGCCATGCTGAGGCAGCATGTGCAAAACCTCCTTCAGTGTGTCCGAGGGACCTTTTTGAAACCTGCATAAAACCCTCTAGCAGCTGCCATACTAGAATGAGACCTAAGGTTCCTCCCAGGCCTCCAGTGCCCCCTGTGGTCTGGCCCAGGCCTCCTCTCCTGCCCCCATCTCCTTGCTCCCCAGCGGTACCCTGGCTGCCTCTTCCTTCCCCAGACCCGCTGGCACCCCCTGCCTCAGGTCCCTGTGCTGATTCTTTCTTCAGTCCTCATGGGTCTTCTCCACATGTGTCAGTCTCTGTTCAAATGTCAGTCCTTGGGGCGGACTTTCATGGGCTAGTGTAGCATCTCTCCGTCACTCTCTCTTCCCTTGCCCTGCTCTGTGTTCTTCACATCTCCTATCACTACCCAACGTTACATGATAGAACAATATTTTTTGTGATATATCTCCTCCCCTAGAAGACAAGCTCCCTAATAAGGCCACGAACTTTATCTGAGTTGTTCATTGCTCTTTTCCCAGTACCCAGAACAGTATCTAGCTCATAGCAGGTGCTCAGTACATACATGTTGACTGAAGGGATTCAGTCCTAGAACAACCTGATGAGGCAGACGGTTAGCTCCTGATTTTCTTATAAAGAAACTCAGGCTCTAAGAGATTGATTTTTTTATCTGGATCATACAGCCAGGTGTGGGCAGAGCCAGCCTGAAGCCTTCACCTCCTGATTATTCCCCTAAAGCTGGATGGTAATAACAAGGGAAGCTTCCATTTTCGAACAACTACTAGGTCTGGGTCTTGTTTTGTATGCGTTGTCTAATTTACCTTTCACGAATATGCCGCATAAATGAGGTATACTTATTATTCCTAATATACTGATGAGCAAGTCAGTGCTTAGAGAGGAAAGTCACCTCTTAACACAGATAGTAAGTGGCACTATCTATCTGGGATTTGAAACCAGGGCCGTCTGACATTCTAGACCAGTCCTATCCAACAGAGATGTAATCCAAGCTACACGTGGATTTTCAATTTTCAATTTTCTAGTAGCCACATTAAAAAAAAGAGGTGAAATTACTTTTAAAAATATATCTTAATTAACGTAGTACATCTAAAATATCACTTCAACATGTAAGCAACATAAAACTGAGACACTTTGTATTCTTTTTTTGAACTGTCTTCAAAACTCAATGTGTATTTATTTTATTTTTATTTTTATTTTTTTTAAAGATTTTATTTTTTTCCCTTTTTCTCCCCAAAGCCCCCCAGTACATAGTTGTACATTCTTCTGTTGTGGGTCCTTCTAGTTGTGGCATGTGGGATGCTGCCTCAGCGTGGTTTGATGAGCAGTGCCATGTCCGCGCCCAGGATTCAAACCAACGAAACACTGGGCCGCCTGCAGTGGAGTGCGAGAACTTAACCACTCGGCCACGGGGCCAGCCCCTCAATGTGTGTTTTAAACTTAGAGTGCTAGCGATCTTTCAGATGCTCGGTAGCCACATGTGGCTAGTGGCCACCATATTGGACAGTGAATTGCTAGTCTGTACTTATAGCCACAAAGCTGTATTTTCTCTCCTTTAGAAGATTTCATGGCCCTCGCTGTCTGATAGCTTAGCTTCTGTATTCTATTTGTTCTTGTTTGGTTATTATATATATATATATATATTTTTTTTTTTTAATTTTTCCTTTTTCTCCCCAAAGCACCCCGGTACATAGTTGTATATTTTTAGTTGTGGGTCCTTCTAGCTGTGGCATGTGGGACACCGCCTCAGCATGGCTTGATGAGCGGTGCCATGTCTGCACCCAGGATTCGAACTGGCGAAACCCTGGGCCACCAAAGTGGAGCGTGTGAACTTAACCACTTGGCCACGGGGCCTGCCCCATGGTTATTATATTTTTGAGTTGTGTCTTTTAGCTTCATGAGAGGAGTGAAGCCGTATGAGGGTTAAAAGTCCCCTTACGGTCCTGCACCATGTGGAATGGCAGACAGTTGGCCTGCACTGAGAGCAACCATGCACAAGAGGGCTTCTTGGTGAGGCTTTGGGCCTGGTTTTCTAGTCTCAGCCCTAGAGAGTTACTCAGCCTGCCCCCGGTCAATTTTCTGAGGCTGAGCAGGCCATAGGGAAGGGTGGTGAATGCTTTGGGGGTGCAGTGCTGAAGCTCTGGCCACCCTGCCGGAGCCAGAGCGTCTTAGCTTCACTGTGGGGCCAGGTGCCCTGCAGTCTTGGTCTTTGAGGAAGCATTGGAGTTGCCAGGTGTTGGAAGTGAACCAGACCACCTGGTATTTTGGTTTTCTGTCTAATAATATGAAAGAAAGAAAAAAGCCAGGCACAGAAGTCCTTTAAAAAATTATTTAAGTGATTCTGGGAAGATAGTGGTGCCAGCAGCATATTTTTTAATTCTCTCCGAATCCCCACATAAAAACATCCAGAACAACTAGATGGCAAACCATGAAACCCATGAACAATATTTACAATAAAACTAGGTGACAAGTTATCCCAATCAAATCCCAAATAGAAGTGGCTAGAATATGCCACCAATATTAACAAGACCTGCAGAGTATCAGCATCTGTATAGGAGAAAACAGAAGTAAGTATTGGGGCATTTGACAGACTTGAGAATAGGGGAACCCCCAAATTTTCCATAATGTTTGGGTGGAAGAGATCTGTGGATGAGCCCCTGTGATTTCTTGAAACCAAACAACCAGGGCTCACTTCCAGGACAAGGCTCCATACCAAAGAGAAACTCAGTGTGGGAGTGGAATCAAAATGATCAGGATAGAGAAGGATGTGGTTAAGGAAAAAGAAGCTCTAAATAAAAGTGTGTGCATGTGTGTGTGTGTGTGTGTGTGTGTAATCTCAAAAAAAAACTGTGTGTTTTTGACCACTATGTGAAAGCAACCAAAAAGAGAGCTGTGTGTGAAGTTAGAAAAGCTACCCTGAACCGTGTGCCCCTCTAAAAAGTTCAGAAAACTAATTTGACATAAAAATAAGCAAGAGGAAATTAGTGCTGTCAATCTTTCAAGGTTATTGTAGGCAAAGAAAACGAGTAAGGAGAGGATCCCTGTAGATACTGAAAGCATGCCAGAAAGACATGCCACAAAACGTAAACCTGCAACTCTCCATTTCAAAATGAGCCTAGACATTAAGATCACGCTGTAAGACATGCGCAACATAAACTGGAAATAGGAAAATCTCAGAATGAGGTGGCAGAACTTAGGAAAGAATTGAAAACAAAAGAAAAATTATTTTCAAAATGAAAGTTGAACTAGAAAGAGCACAAGAATAGATAAACAGAAAATGCCTTGAGGGAGGAAAATTTTTAAGATCAGAATAAATGAAGAAAGAGATAAGACTGAGAAAAAATGACAATTATTAATGATAGGCAAAGAAGATCCAGCATACAGATAATAGAAATCCCTGAAAGGGGAGAATAAAAAGGCAAAGGAACTGAACAAATACTTCAACTATAATTTAAGAATTTTCACAAACAAACGAAAGAATACTTGAAACTGCATATTGAAAGAGCATACCGTGAAGCTAACCGTGTCAACCCAGAATGGTCACTACAAAAGACATATTCTTGGTAAACTACCAGATTTTAAAAGAAAATATAAAGTCCTTTGGGTATCTAGGCAAAAACAGCAAATGACTTATAAGAGAAATAAAGTTAGATTATTTTCAGTCTTTTTGACAGAAACGCTTTTTTGCCAAAAGAAAGTAGAGTAACCTAATCAAATAAGTTAAGGAAAGAAAAAAAAACGTGAACCAGAGATTTTCTATCTAGCAAAACTGACTTTTGAGTGTAAAGGGCACAGACTAACCATTATGAACATGCAAGGCCTCGAGAATTTTGCTCCCGTGAGCCCTCCCTGAGGAATCTGCTAGAGAACAAGCTTCAGACACTGGAAGTGTTTTACCAGAAAGGGAGGGTGTGGGTGGGGGTGGGGCTGATTAGATCTACAGCTAGACCTCGGCCCCGCTCTCCAGTGGCTGAAGGCAGAGCAGAAGGCAGTGCTGGAACTTGTCTTACCATCAGCAGATCATAGACTTCCTTCCAGGTCACTGTGTGTAGACTTACTTCTCTATTTTTAATAGCGGCGTAATCTTCCAGAGTCTGGATATACCATAATTGTTTTCAACACGTCCCTTTTGATGACCTTTTAGGTTGTTCCAGGATTTTTGCTACTACAAATAAGGTGCAGTAAACACCTGTACTTCTATCTGTATAGCTCTCCATATGAAATCTCCGTAGGTCCCAGTGCTCTGCCTTCTGTAGGTTGAGGGATTGTTGTGTCAACAGGGTGCTCATTTCACTTTTTAGGAGATAATATCTAAATGCAATGCATGATCCTGGATTAAGAAAAAATTGCTCTAAAAACCAGTATTGGGATAATTAGCAAATTTTGAATGTGGCTTGTATATTAGATACTGCTGTTGTACCAATGATAAATTTCCTGAATATAATAATTTTATCATCATGTAAGAGGATAATCTTGTTCTTGGGAAATAACAGGCTGAAGGATTTAGGGGTGAAGGATCATAATCTCTGCATGTTACTCTCAAACGGTTCAGGAAAAATGTGTATATATAATTATGTACACAGAGATGAAGCAGATGAGGCAAAATGTTAATCATCAGTGTAGCTAAGTGAAAGGTTGTAGACTTCGTTTACTATTCTTGCAACTTTTTTGTAAGTTCGATATTTAAAAAAAAATACAAAGTTAAAACACATTTTTATGATTACTGCCAGATTACTTTCCAAAAAGAACAGCGCAGTTCATAATCCTATCAGTTGTGATGGCACTGACGGATGACAAATGGCATCTTCCTGTTTAATTTGCATTTCCTGACTACCATTCTAAAATTGCCAGACGTGATTCCTGTGGCTCTCGGAGTCGAAGCAGAAATCTATCTTTGGAGCTGATTACTTTTTGTTCTGTGAGCCCTCCTGGTCGTACATTGGTGGAATGGTCTAAATGCACATTTAAAGATACATTCTATTGTAAGACGTACCACTGATTTGCCAACAGCTTTTTTTGTTTATTTGGGGCCTGGGAGAGCCTTAGAAGAGAAGATCTAGTCAGCCACAGTTAGAGGGGAGAAACACTACACTCAACATATGCAGAAAACGTTTTTTTTCTTTTTGGCTAAGTAGCTTTCATTTATCCACATAATGCCACCTTTTTCTTTAGGGCCACATTGTGAAGTGCTCCTATAGGTCTCTCCATTCTTAAGGATTCATCTCTACAGAATTGCTGTAATATGTGAAGATTGGCCATTTCCCCCCAAATCCTGGATTTTTAGGGGGCCGTGGACTAAGAGGAAGGAGGAGATGGGAGAAGGGGTTAGGATTAAGGAAGTCATTGCCAGGTGACTAGTTTAATTGGGCACCCTGTATTAAGGCTTATTTCCACAAATAAGGAGAAGCCATTAGGAGACTGGTTCGCGGGTGTCCTCATCAGTCCGGGCGTGTGCTCCCCACCACAGCAGGTTTGCTGCTTGGAAACGAGCGCCTCACTGCCTCGTGTTTCTGGAGAGGCTGTAGCCCCTCCTAGGAAATGCCCTTTCCCTCCAGGAAGCCAGGGCATCTCCCTGAGGGAGGGACAAGGTCTTGGAGGCTGAGGGCGGGCTGTAAAAGGACAGGACCTGACCTCGCCCCTCAAGCCCCACCCCTGTCCATACCTTCCCTTTTTGGTGAAACCGCCTGCCTGTGAGTGCTCAAATTTCCAGGGAAGGACGGCTCATCGGAAAGGTTTTCACACATGTTTGGCTTTGTAGTAAAATGACATGAAATTTATAATCTGATGGTCTTACCTGTGTATTGATATATTCTTGCTCTGGACACTGCATCATTTTTGGTCAGAGTTGAGAGGATAGAAATGGGAGAGATTCTTCTGAAAACCTTCAGATTGCATGTTTGGGACCAGACAGTCTCTTTTAAGTCTGGTGACCTCTGTTTTGTTGTTTGTGTTGAATGAAACGCCTGAACACATTTTCTGACTTATGGTCTGAGCAAGGATCAGAATAGTCGAAACTTGGACCATCCAAAAAAATAATGAAATGTAAAGTCACTATTTTAAAGATTTTATTTTTCCTTTTTCTCCCCAAAGCCCCCCGGTACCTAGTTGTGTATTTTTAGTTGTGGGTCCTTCTGGTTGTGGCACGTGGGATGCCGCCTCAGCAAGGCTTGATGAGTGGTGCCATGTCCACGCCCAGGATCCGAACCGGCGAAACCCTGGGCCCCTGAAGCAGAGCGCACGAACCCAACCACTGGGCCACAGGGCTGGCCCCTAAAGTCACTATTTTAATAAACCATTTGGAAATTCAGTAGCAAACCCTAGAACTGATGGCAGGATGGAAAGGAAGTTTTCTCATTTTCACATTAGCGGACTTTTGGTTCTTTTCCTAAGTGACATTGCAAACATCCTGCTGGTTCTCCCGGGTAGGGAGTTAACTTGAACTGTGGGAGAGATTTCCAAGGCCCTCTGAGCTTTCAGTTCAAATCTTCTATATTCACAAGGCCTCCCTGTGCCTCAGGATGGCGGAATTAATCCAAATGTGAGGAGCATTTGGCTAACAATCTCCATGGATCTGGCAGAAAAAAGCTAGTCCATGTGCACCGTCTAGGATGTAGCTCTGGCCCTGTAGCTCTAGGCCGGACACCCAGGCATGTAGGCCTCCAGGGCTTAGGCATCACTTGACACCCAGATTATGAGGGCCAGATCCACGGAGATGTTGTGCTGATGTCCGATGCCCCCTTGCCACTGGTGGTGGACCCAGAGGTAGGAGAGCTCAGATTCCCAAGTGCTGCTCTATTCCTGGTGCCTCCACTCTCTGCCGAGCTTCCTTCCGTGAGTGGCACATTTCACCTCTGTGCCCAGGAAGAGCACTAGCCCCTCGGAGGGGACAGCGGCTCTCCACTGGAGCCAGCTGCTTATTCCCCTCTCCTGTGCAGCCTTGGGGATGGTGTGCTTTGGCCTGCATCCTGTGTTCCTCAGGAACCCAGTGATCTTGGACCACCCTTAAACTGTGCCAAGAAGCGACTACAATTCTGCAGCTAAGCCCAGGATTGTGGTTACTGTGTGTGTTGCCATTTTTCTCCAAAGTATTCTTGACACCAGGCTTTTCTTCATGACAATATTTGTTGACTCAGTGTAACAGCTTTCTTTAAGTATTCTCCAGAGTGACTATGATGGCTGGATGTTCGAATAAATTAGTGGTCCCTTATTTCCTAGCTCACGTATTGGTCAGGAACCATAAGTTCACATGCCAGTACGTGAGCCCATCTATGTGACTTCTCTTTTGACCGCCCCCCAAATATATATGTGATATATCAATATATATAAACACAAATAAATATCTATCTATATGTAAACATAAAAATATATAAACATAATAAATATCTTAAAAATATATATATATAAAGAGCATCTGTCAGGTGCCAGGCATTCTGCACCTCTTGTCTTGAATTTTCACAAAGATGCAATAAGATAGGGATTATCATCACCGTTTTCTGGATGTGGCACCTGAGACTGGAAGTTACGTTACGCGTCAAAGAGAATATTACCGTTAAGCGATGGTATCCAGGCACACACCCAACCCCGTTGATTCCAGAGCCCACATTTGTTCCACTGCACCATGTCCTCCCAGATGACCTGTGTTCAGTGGACAGGGTGGCTTCTCCCATAGTAGGCATCTGGAGGCCCTCGGCTCTGTTTTCCCTGGCCTGTCACAGAGGCGCCTGCTAACACTGGCATCTCCTGTGACCTATGGGGATAGGTAGGTCGTGTGAAGTCAGCTCGGTCCCTGCCTTGGCCTGTAAAATTGTCAGCAAGGAAGTCGTCTTTTGTTGTTGCTTGATAAGCTTCAAACGATGGGAACAGCCTTTAAACCGGATGTGTATTTTCTCTATTGACAACATTAGTGCTTCTCAGGCTAGCTGTGGTCAAGGACCAGTTTTTTCATTTCCAGTCTGTTGAGGACTGATATTTTAAAAAATACAATAAAAATGTCATGGCAATTTGCTATAAAAGTTTCCAAATGCTTGCTCTTAGCTTCTGTAGTTATCTCACTGTGGGCTGGTGGAATAAATAGTTCGCGGTCCAGTGCTGGTCTGCGGGTGCATCTTGAGTAGCGCTCTACCATATAATTTAGAGGAGGCATGGACTTCAGAAGAAATGTACAATTTCTATAAGCCACAATTTAAAAAACTTTAAATTTAGTGTAATAGACAGTGTCTCTGTTTAGCATTCTAATTTTTAACGTTGTGTCTCCAACTTTTTAAAATTACAAAGGTAATTCATGATTGCAACAAAAACTCAAATAGTACAAAAATATCCAAACTGAAAATCTTCCCCTTCTCTCAGTCCCACCCTTCAAACTACTGTTATCAATTCTTAAATTGGAAGTTCGTCTCACGTTCAAGAAAGAGGGGTGTGGATCAAGATTTATGAAGCGAGAAGGGATGGGAGAGGCATTTTAGAAATTGACCCAATTTTTTACTCTCTTCTCTCTTGATTTTTATTTCAAGAGGGAAAGTATAACTTTTAAGAATTATAGATTCAGAGTAACATGACAGTTCTCTTTGATTCAGTGTTTCCTAACGCCCATTCTCTCTTGTTGCAGAGCCAGATCACGCTGATGGACATACCCGTATTCAAAGCCATCCAGCCGGAGGTCTGTACTTGGTCCTTCCTACTGTTCTACTAACGCTGTGGCTGGGACGAGAGGATTAAGTCAGCCACATTAGGGTGACAGTTTTTCGGTTTCTCTCTTGAAGTCTCTATAAACACATGTTAATCCATTTAAACCCCTATTAAAGCGAGCATCCAGGACCTTTCCGTTCTCCGTGGTGCTCATTCTTTGAGCCAGGTGTTTGGTTCTCCAGAGAATGTCAGTGCACCAGGCCCACTGCGGCCGGGCTGGGGCAGTTGGTCCCCACGGCCTCCATGTCTGAGTCGAGCCTTGCCACCCTAATTCCTTTTCCCAGGCTCCCCCTGCTGAACACGGTCACCATCAAGGAGATGTGAGGGAACATTTTTCTAGCGAGCTTCCTTTTTGTGGTCCCAAATTCTGGCGGTTGCGTTGTTTCTGATTTTAAAACCAGTTGCCACAGCAAAACACATACATATTTACCTTAAAAGCATATGTACATTTTTAGAAACAGCATATTCAATAAAGAGAAAGAGGTTGATTTTGGTCTTTAAAAAAATTCCTAGAAATATTTAGCAGTTGATAATGAGGCTTTCCAGTTATTTTAGTCAGTGTTCTTCTTTTGTTAGTAAGTAATGGAAATCCATTTCAAAGCAGCCGAATAGGCAGAAGAGGAACTTCTCACAAGGATAAGGGGACACTTTACCGACTGTGTGGGTACGGAGTTGAGGCAGCTTGGAGAGCCAGCCGGGACGCAAGCCGTCTCTGCTTCTTGCCCCTGCTGTTCCCTCTCCTCTTCTCTCCTGCCTTCTTTCACATCTGCCACTGTGGTCCAACCCAGCCTCCCCCAGGGCCCGCATTTACACGACCCACGTTTAAGCCACCTTCCGGACTGAGCCCAGCAGCTCTCAGTCCAGCCCAGCTGAGTCAGGTTTCTGGTGGTGGATCAGTGACCTCCGTGAGGAGTATGTTGCCAAGATGAGCAAGCACAGCTGAGGGGGACCCAGCCTTGTGAGTGGGGCGCAGATTTCAGAGAAGAGAGGTGTAGGTAGGGAGATATGCCAAAAGGTGTCTGCTGCAACCATGATGTGAATTCCTGACGCCCTTGACGTAATGCCCTTCTTCTTACAGCCTGGTAGCTGTTAACACTTTGAGAAAAATAGCATATTTTAATACAAAGCCAGACAAAGGATCTAGGCCTTTTGAGAGCTGGCATCAACCTACTACAAATTATGGGGGAAGCAAGTATTGCTAGCTGGTCTCAGCGTTTATGTGAGGACGTGGCAATGCTTTGTATTATTTTGTGTGTGCGCATACACATGTGTGTTGTGTTCATTAGGTTTGGGGAGCACAGCTATGTTTGCTTTTTTGAATTGGGTGACTTCCAGTCTTTTCCTGTTTTTTTCTAACGTGGAATTATCTATTCCTTCTAATTAAAAACAAATAACTCACGACCTCTTGGAGCCTTTTGGGGGAGTAGTTATATGGTGGTTGCCTTAGTTCTTAGCTGAAGTGATTTCTGATCGTGCTCTCTCATTGGCTTTTATCTGGAGCACTTTAGACATTTGGATCTTTATTCTTTGTTCTGAGCATCAAGTAGGGCAGCCCAGCCTGCCATGAGCTCTGATCCCTGGACCTGAGTGTGCCCAGGGAGGTGGGGATCACTGCTCAGGCTGGTTGTAGGAAGAAGGGGGTGGGGGGGTCCTTCAGAGGCACACCGAGGGGCAGGCTGAGACTCTTCCCCAGGCCGCTGCAGTTTGGAAGGTGTCTTATCCAAGGCATCTTGTTTCAAGTGTTGACAACACGTTAGGTTGGAGGTGTTTTGCTTTCAAGGTTTTAGCTTGGAGCAGTGGTTCTCTGTTTTGGCTGCACATCAGAATCATGTGGGCAGCCTCTGAAACATGGGGTGTCCAGACTCCACCCTAGACCATTGAATCTGAACCTCTGGGTCAGGGTCTGGAACCCAGGCCATCCTATGTTGTAAAAGTTTACCACGTGATTCTGATCCCAAATGAGGAGTAAGAACTAATTGCTTCGAGATATCTGGAGAAACCCCAAACTTGACTGTCTTGGATCTATGATATGTTAGCTAAAAATGGATGAGTTTGTTCCTCATTGTCATTGTCAAAACTGTGGTTAAAAGGAGGACCCTGGGAACTGCCCCAGCTTTTTTGCAGTTGTTATTGTTAGCAGACTGAAAACTGGAATTTTTCCCCTTGATGATGCCTGCCACGTTGTGGCTGGACCACCCCAGAGTTGGAAGGACGTGGATAAGGGACAGTTGTAAGTTTGATGTAGACAAGACTTTCCAGGACACAGAGCCCAGCATCTGAGAGCAAGATAGACACTGTGAGTGACCCGGACTCCTAGAAGATCAGGAGACCTGTGGACTGGTGCCCTTTAGTTCTGGCTCTCATCAGAATCAGTTGGGGAGCTCTGTAAAAAAATCCAGATGCCTAGGCTCCCTCCTTGGAGATTCTGATTCCATCAGGGTAGAGTGGGATTGGGAATCTGTGTTTCAATCAGTTCTAGTCACTGTTCTTTTTGATTCATAAATTGTCCTATCTTTAACCAGTGGTGGCCCTTTCATGTCATCTCTGGTATCCTTTTAACATAAGCCCATTAGTTTTTTTTTTTTAAAGATTTTATTTTTTTCCTTTGTCTCCCCAAAGCCCCCCAGCATAGTTGTACATTCTTCGTTGTGGGTCCCTCTAGCTGTGGCATGCGGGGCACGGACCCAGCATGGCCCAATGAGCAGTGCCATGTCCACTCCCAGGATTCGAACCAATGAAACACTGGGCCACCTGCGGTGGAGCACGCGAACCCAACCACTCGGCCACGGGGCCAGCCCCAAGCCCATTAGTTTTTGATAGCTTCCTTGCTCTTGGCAGAACGAGATATCCCAATGCTATGTTGTATATTTCTTGCTTAAGACCTGGAATTGGGCATTCCTTCAGGGATGCTGGTTTATTTTTGTGGAGAATAATACTTAGAAACCATGATCTGGGTGAGAGGATGTTCATTGCTACTGGGTTCCCGTTGCTTTTAGGCATTTTCGGTGGACAGGGCTGGGAAATATTTATTTTTTAAAAGGAAAAGTCGTGAGGCCATAGTTAGAGCAGGTGGCGTTATTCCTCCACAATTCTTCCTTCTCTCCTCCTCCTTGTCATAACTTCCTTGTGGGTGGCACGTATTTCCCCACCCTATTGACTTTGGGCTTGGCTTTGTCGTTGAGTGCAAATGACACTATGTGAATGGTGAGCTGAAGTCCAGCCCTCTCGAACTTCCAGTCTTCATGATGTGCTGGTTGCTATTGCTCGTTTAGCCTGAGTCCTAAAAGGAGGACATTATAGATGACCTGAACCTAACCCAGCCTGACCTGGCCCAGCCTGAGTGAACCTCGCAGAGGTCAGCGGAACTGCAGCCTCTGCAGACCTGTGAGCATGAAACAAGCCTCTGAGCTTTGAGGGTTGTTCGTTACACCACATTATCCTATAGAAACGTGACCAATACCATGTTGCTCTTTCCAAGTCACATCTAGCATTATAGGGTTGTTAACTTAATTCCCTTGATTTTTATAGGTTTTCTTCTACACTGACAATTTGGTTCCTAACAACATTAAATAATTACTTTTTTGTATTGTCCCATCATGTATATAGGATAGTTTTAAAATAATTATATCAATATTACCATTAACCAGCAGACTACTGGTTGAAGTTTAACATTTCTTTGCAATTCTGTTTGCCTTTATTCCTTTTCTTCTTATCTTCTCTCCCTCTTACAGTGCACTGATGCACGCAGGTGGGCCTCCCCCCTTGGCTCCCCCTCAGAGGCCTTCGGAAGCACTGGGCAGAAAAGGAGGGTTATGCTCCCTTGGTTCTGGATGTGTGCATCCTGAGAGACCTTGTTGTGATGTCAGTGCCTGGACATTGTAGATCCTCAATAAAGATTTGCTGAGTGAGTGGAGAATGAGTGGCTGACTGCGTGAGAGGAGAGGCACTGCAGCAGAACATTATCTGGCTGTGTTTAGGCACGTTGCCGAGGGGGGCGTTCCGATTAGGGGAACGCTACTACCAGGGTGCCTGTTTTGCGGTGTAACCACTTCCCCCAAAGCAAGGGTTTTGCCTGGTGAGCTCAGCCTTTGAAGATCCAAATTTCCAAATGCCGTTGATAACTGAGGGTGGAACTGTGGCTTCTGCTCGTTTGTGCAAGGGGGACCGCGTTAGCATTATCCAGGGCTGAGAGGAAGCCAGGCAGACGGTGAGTTAAGGATTGGCAGGGCGCAAGGAAAATGGAAGTTACTTAGTATGGAACCAGAAGTGCCCTGTTCCCTGGTGACTCTAACAAGTGACCAGTTTTATCAAAAATTGGTGAGTTAACACAGAGACAACTCTGCAGCATGATAGCTCCCAGCTGTGTTTACCTTATAGGCCGTGGCCTAGAACCCCATCACCCCGTGGTGGATGGAGTGCAGAGCTGGATGGATTCCTGGCTGCCAGTGCTCACGGTGAGGGCTGCCTTGTGCGGGAGGTCTTCCTGAGGGCTCCTAGTGACAGCGGCCTTGTGAGCGGGTACAGTTTCAGGGTGGCATTTTGTCCCCACTGGCATTCCCTACCAAATCTGTCTGTCGTTATGTGCGGTTCCCAGCCTGTGGACTTGGAGGCCCAGCAGTTTCTCAGAGGCCAGTTTAAATGTCAGCACTGTTTTTATCATCAGTTTCAAGGTGGAGCAGCATCAAGAAGGAACTGCTGTTCTTAGAATGTGCTGAAAAAGAGCACGGTCTGTGCCTGACTCAGCCCGGGGTTCTATCCAAGCCGAGCCGCCGGGTCCACTAACCCTGCCTGGTGTTTCTAAGGGCCCGGACTTCATCTGACAAAGCTGGGGTTGAGCCCTGGCTTCACCCTTCCTAGCTCGGACTTCGGACAAGTTGCTCATCCTCTTTATGCTTCGGTTTTCTCATGTGTAAAACAGGGGAAATCATAGTTTTTACCTCGTAATGGGCCTGTAAGAGCTTAGGTGCCTCC